AGCCATAGCCAGTTGTATTAAATGTATTTGTAGTTTTTATAAATTTGTTTAATTTTTATCAACTGCAAAATAAATTGATTAATAAAGTATGACTCCATTGGAATTAAAAAAAAAAAAAATACTGAAAAATTCCATCACCCAGGGAATTTCTCCTGGTTAAGAATATAATTAAAACTATTCAAAATTTCTATTGCATAATTATTCATTCCAAATGGACTAATAATTTATTCAACTCAAAAATTTCATATTATGAATTTGATAAACAATGTGATAATTCACATTGAAAACTATTTGAAGTGTTGTATGAGAATTTCCTCTTGTGACATCATAGATACTTCCATAGTAAAACTTTTTCTTTAAAATCTATATTATCAATTACAGCTAAGTTCAAAATATGGTGCTGAAAGTTTATAAAAATTGCATTACTTTAAAACTTATCAACACTTTAAGAGGAAAAATCTAAAAAAGTAAACTGGTATCTTGTTCCCCAAAGTATGCTCTATCAAGCTACTGACCAGTTTTTAATTAAAGCTTATAGCAAAAGTTATAAGCCTTTAAAAGTATATAATTTTTATATATTAAGACAAATTTGAAACATTGACTGTTTATGTTAATTAAGGTCATGTGGAGCAATTTTATTGATCAAAACCTGAAACCACATTTCGAACTTTATCATTTTTCCCTTAAAATTCCAAAATCTTCTGTTTTTTTTTTATTCACCACCTAAATTTTAATTTACATATAAAGTTTTTAATAAAAAATTTATTTTTAATTTATGTATAAAATTTTTATCAAAATCTTAATTTTTATAGGTCAATTTTCTCTCACACAATATATAATATTCCACAAAAATTGAAACAAAATCATGAAAATTGGGAGTATAGACTTCCAGTACTATATTTGATCAGAAAATAAGTCTTTCGGAAGGTCTAATACTATTCAAGACATCTTTCATGATGATTGGTATGTGAAATAATTCCCATTGGAAACCAAAGATTTGAATTGTAAAAGCAAGATTAATAATAATTCAATTAAATAAAGTTATAATCAATAATTTTAACGGATTCACTATTTGTTTTCATTTTTTATGTGTAATTATCTTTTTAAACTCAAATAATTCTTTGAATAATCCTTCAAAAAATTTGAAGAAAATTTGGAAATGCATTATAATAAACTATAAGAGAATCTGGTTCCCTTTTTCTAGGAATTAATGTGAATCAAATCATTTTTTGCCAATATTAAAACACTTATCTTGATCCAATTCTTTTTCTTCCAAAATTTCTGTATGAATCAATTTTAATAAAATTTTAAGTGAAAATAAACCTGTAATTTCAATTGATGCTGTTTATGATATATAGAAGATTCGGATTTTGAATCAAATAACTTAAATATCAGAAATATGGTTTTTAATAATTTTTCTCCTTCTTGATTAAATTTTGCAATATCTAAAATCCAATTGCCTTATATTGTTAAGATTCCTGTACAATCTGAATTGTGGTTTTCATATTCACATTATATTTTTTGTAATTGTTATAAAAAAGCGGTGGGCATTTACTTACTAAAGCTGGTGGTCCTTGAAAATGCATAAAAAGTGAGGTTTATAGTCGTTTGAGGATTGCGTAACTACTGGGTCAATTATTCTTAAAGTGGAACAAGAATATCGTCCAATACGTGTCACTTGAATATTTTATTATTAATTGCTTTTTTTGTCACAAAATAAACAGCGGCAATGGTGAAGAATACTGTGTTCAGTTGAAATTTTTTGTTCTGATTTTTTTTTACAAAATCTATTTTGATCAAATATAAAATGTGAGTAACAGGCACCAAGGTTTTCTAATTTTTTTATTCTTCTTCTACAGCATTTTTATCAACTTGCTACATTCCTATTAATTGCCATAGCTGTCTTAACTTATCTGAGCTTCCACATCATTGAATTTTCCCATCAATTATATCAATTTCGCACAAGGCATTATATATTTTGTTCACAACATTCAATTATTTTATTATCCACTTTATCCAAATCACTTATTTCTGAAGGTAAACTTGATTGAATTTCTATGAAGTCATCTTATTCCTTACTATTTCCACAATCAATTTCACTTAATTCTTTATCTAATACTAGTTTTTTTGCGTCAATAAATTTTCTACATTAAATTCAAAAATAAATTGTTTGTTGGCTTCATAAATTTCGTTAAAAAAAAACTCTCCTTTTTATTTTCATAATCTACAAGTGTCTTCTGAGTCTGTTTTTGATAAATTTTGTAAGTCAAATATATTTTATTAGCATTTATAATCGACATTTGATGCCAAGTAAACGTCAAAGATCCTTTAAAAGTAAGACTGAAACAATTTTAAAGAATAAGTATATTATTTGTCACAGCTTCAGATCATAGTGGCACAAGTAAAGCGATCAAATTAAATATAGTTAACATTGAGATAATTTTTTTTATTGTAGCTTCAACATATAAAATACAAATGATTGACATAATTTTAAGAGAGTTCAAAATCTTTGAAACCAAAATTTCAAGCTGATTCAAGATCAATAACACTTCTCTAATCAATTATTAATCAGTTGCGTGAATATTATATTATGGATTGCGAGTATTTAGTATCATAATCATTAAAATCAAAATTTCTTGCTGATTAATCAATTATCAATTAATTTATATTTCATTAACAGCAAGTGAGTATTTAGATTCATAATCATTGGGACCAAAATTTCTAACTAATTCAATATCTAATAGCACTTCTCAATACTAATTTTCTATTAATAAAATTGATAATTGATTATAGATTCTAATCATTGAAAACAAAATTGCTAATTCAATATCAAATATCACTTCTAATCACTTACCTATTATTTGCATGAATATTAATAATTAGTGTGTAAGTATTTTAGATTCATAATCATTGAAACCAAAATTTCAATATCCAATAACACTTCTCTAATTAATTACCAATCAATTGATTTTCATTGTATTACAGGATGTGAGTATTTTGATTACGTTAATCCATGAGCAAATTTCAATCCAATTCAATATCAAATGAACCTTTTTTCATCAATTATAATTCAAATGAATGTACATTAAAAATAATAAGACTTGAGTATTTATATTTATAATCATCGAAACTGGGTTTTAAGTTATTTCAACATTAAATAATGCTTTTCGAATCAATTACAAATCAACTGCATGTATACTATATTATAGATCGCGAGTATTTGATTTATGATCAAATTTCAATTCAATCCAATCAATTATCATATCATCCAAAATAACAATTTTCTAATCAATTATAAATCAATTTCATGAACGTTAAATAGTTTATAAGTATCTAAATTCGTAATAATGTGAACATTATCGATTACAAATTACTAGGGAGTGAGCATTTATAATTTACGATCATTAATAATACATCTCTAATCTATTACGTATATCAATTTTAATTGAATTCTAACTTTATGTAAGTTTGTGATATCAGATTTGTTATTTGTAAACATATAATTAACTACATATATAATATAGGGTGTGAGCATTTGGAATTTATAATAATAAGATCAAAAGTTCTGAACCAATTTACTGCAAATAACGCTTTTTTAATCAATTATCAATCATTTGCATATATTAAATAATTAGTCGGTAAGTTTCAAGATTCATATAATTAAAAATTAAAGTATCAGCTAATGTCTTTTCTCTAACCAATTATTCAATTACGTTATGTACAAAAATAGTCAGTAATTATGGATTAATTTCGAAATCTTTAGTTAATCAATTTTAATTAACAAATCTTTAATCAATTTTAAATTAATTTTAAGAAATTGAATAATTAGTCCGTTAGTAAAAATATTTATGTTAATTTTTTGTATAGAAATATCATTATTGCTCATTATCAATAATATTTCTAGTAATGTTGTCATATATCCATCTGCGTGTGAGAAATGTCGACTGGATTAAATTGGCATAGACCATGTAATGCTGAAGGAGACACGTATATTGATTGTTCATTAAATAAATGCAGCTTAAAGCAAATAAACATGATGAAGTTATTGAGTAGATTCTTTTTGATAGATTTGACAAAGTGGAATATCTTGATGCAGGAGGCTTTGGTACTGTCTACAAGGCAAGATGGCGTGATAGATATATTGTTTCTTGGGACTCTGAAGAACAAAATTGGTTAAAAAAGTCTGAATGGAAATATGTTTGTTTAAAATGTCTTAATACCTTTGAACATACTAGAGAATTTCTGCAAGAGGTAAATGATAATATTCAGTCCGTATTATTTAAACATTCATTTAATGTATTTCATTTAATATATTAACCAGGTGGAGAATATTCAGAGTCTAATTAATAATTATTCACATTAATAATGGCTAACATTGGAATTCATAGCTGAATCTATAAAGCTGTCTAAATTAATATGACTAATAATTTAATTGAATAAAATATCAATACTTAGATTATCAATTAATTCTAGAAGAGATGTCCAAGAAATTAGACAAAAATGAAACAGAATGAATAATCATGTCCCAAGACCATAAAAAAATAAAATAAAAAAAATAAAAAAAATAAAAATAAAAAAATAAAAAAAAAAATAAAAAAAAATAAATAAAAATAAAAAATTAGAATATTATATTTGATATCGATGTATCACTGAGCATAAAGGCTTTGTAAATGAAAAGACTGATATTGCCTATTTGAAAGAAAGAAAGAAGAAAGAAAGAAAGAAAAGAGAAAGAAGAAAGAGAAAGAAAGAAAGAAGGATAAAGAAAAGAAAAAAGATAAAGAAAGAAAGAGAAAGAAAAGAAAAAAGAGAAAGAAAGAAAGAAAGGACCTAATTAATTGATGATTTGTCACTCAATGGTATAACTATGATCGGCAAAATTATCATAATAATTTAATTCCACCTGTGATCACCAAGATGATTTACTGTACATACAGGATATTTTATTTTTATTTTCTGTTAATATTTTTTTTTGTCTCGACAAAGTGAAAAAAAAATACTAATAAAGACAATTTGAAATAACACGTTTTTGTACTAATATTAGAGTACTTATTTATACATTTGAAAATGTTGAAGGTCTACTAACTGAATTGGTGGGAATTTTCAAAAGGCGTTTGACTGTGGTGCACAAGTAAACAATACAATGTTGAGCAAAATTTAATTATAGGACCAAAAATATATCCATAATGATAAAATTAATCGATTTTGGTTAAACTAGATAAAAGGGAAGTTTCAAAATCAACTGTTTCATCACAATGTTTTCGTAATACAAGCTTTTCAATATTTATAAATCAATTATTCTGGGACGAAGTTAAACGACCGAAAAGAAAACGAAGCTCAAATTGAAAATATCAAAAATATTTTTATTTTTTTTTTTGCAGACAATACAAAAATATTAATCAACTATGGTTGCTAATAAATCATCTTTAAAGGACAAGCAATGGATAAAAATTTGTCCTTCAAAAGCAAATACATTATTACATAACAGAGGGTAAGAATTTGATTCATAATCAAATTAAAGTCAAAGCTTCAATCTAAAAATATTTTTCTATCAAAATTATCAATCAATTGCATGTACATTATATTACAGAAAGTGAGTATTTTGGATCATAGCTACTGTAATCAAAGTTTCAATCAAATTCGACACTTTAATAAATTATCAATCAATTGCATGAAAATTATGTTACAGGAAGTATTATAGCGTGTGAGTATTGAGATTTAATTACAAAATACAATTGAATACTTTTTTTGACAATTTTTTTCAATGACAATAACACTTTTAATCAATTGTATGAATATTATATAATAGTATGTGAGTATTGAGACTTATAATTAAAGTAATTTAGTGTTTCAAGTTAATTCAACAACAAATTAACAATTTTCTAATCAATTATCAATCAACCGCATGTGCATTATAAACAATAAGAATGTGAGTATTTAGATTCATAATCATTGAAATTAAAATTTTCATGCTAATTCAACATTTAAATATTTTAATCAATTATTAATTAAATACTTGTAATTGTCATTCAATTGTATGCGCATCATATTTCAGTCCGTGAGTATTTAATCATAATTATTGAAACCAAAATTTCAAGCTAATTCAGTATCAAATGCCTCTTCTCTACTAAATTAACAATCAATTACATAAATATTAATTAATCAGTTCGTGAGTATCATTGAAACCAAATTTCATGTTAATTCAATATCAAATAATGCTTCTCTAATCAATTATCAATTATTTACATGAATATTTAATAATTAGTTTGTAAGTATTTATATTCCTAATCTGTGAAACCAAAATTTCAAGCTAATTCAATATCAAATCAATTATCAAATAATTCTCTTAATCAATTATCAATCAATTGTATGCAGTAAAAGTGAGACCTGTATTACTACTAGCAAGTGAGTATTGAGATTTTAATTATTGAAATCAAAGTAATCAATAATATATCATAAATCTATTACAAAATAAAAATTTTTAATTAATTTCATGTAAATACATTTATTACAGGATGTGAGTATTATGATTCATAATCACTATAATTCGACATATAATGACACTTCACTAATAAATTATCAACAATTGCGTGTACATTTATTACAGATAGTGAGTAGTTTAATTCATAATCACTGTACTCAAAGTTTCACTCTAATTCAACATCTAACAACACTTCTCTAATAAATTATCAATTAATTGTATGAATATTTAAAAATTAGTTAGTAAGTATTTAAATTCATAATAATTGAAACCAAAAATTCAAGTTAATTTATTATCATATAATACTTATCTAAACAATTATCATGAATATTTAATAATTAGTCCGTAAGTATTTTGATTCATATTCATAACAATTGAAACCAAAATTTTGAGTTAATTCAATATCAATCTGTTTATCAATTATTTTCACTAATATTTAATAATTAGTCAGTAAGTATTTAGATTCTTCGAAACAAAAATTTCAGTCTAATTCAATACCTTTAATCAATTATTAACCAAATACTTGTATATTTTATTAACAGTGAGTGAGTACTTAGATTCATGATCAAATTTCAGTCAATTCAATAACAAATAATGTTTTTCTAATAATAATTTATCAACCAACTACATGAATGTCATATTATAGGGTGTGAGTATTGAGATTTGTAATTAAAATAATCAGTTTCATGCTAATTCAACATTATCAAATAATCTTTTTCTAATAATAACTGCATGAATATTATATTATAGCGCGTGAGTATTGAGAATTTTTAATTATTGAAATCAAAGTTTCAAGCTATTCAATATCAAATAACGTCTCTCTAATCAATTTTATCAATTATCAATTAAATTCGTTAAATTAATAAGTTTGTAAGTATCTCGATTCATAATTACGAAGAACACTAATTTACATCACTTACATAACTAATCAATTATAATCAATTTCAAATTACTAGGGAGTGAGTATTTAATAATTTATGGTCATTAAGAGCAGATTCCAGCTAATCAAATATCAAATATCACTTCTTTAACCTATTATTATCAACTTAATTGAATTCTAACTTTATGTTAGCTTGTGAGTATTAGCATTATTATTTGTAAAAATTAAATTATTTCAATATATTCACTAATTGAATTGATTTCATAAATTATACAGGTTGTGAGTATCAACATTTTAAATATAATTCATTGTAAATAATATTTCTTTAACTAATCATCAATATTTTTGCATATATTTAATAATTAGTCGGTAAGTATTAGATTCATAATTATTAAAGTTAATTTTTTGAATTAATTAAGTTATCAAATAACATAAATAATTATCAACATTTTTATGTATCTTTCATAATCAGATTGTGAGTATTAAAATATATATATTTATCAAAGTTACATATGTATTAATTTAAAATCAAATATTAATTTCTAATTAATTAATTTAATTAGTATGTGAGTATAATTATCAAGATCAAAGTTTTGAGCCAAACCAATATCAAATAAAATCTTCTAATAATTTTATGCGCATATTATATTACAGAACGTAAGTATTTATGATTATTACAAAATGAAGATAATAATTTAATATTTTTCTAATTAATCTAATCAAATACAAACATATTTCATTATAGGTCGTCGTGAGTATTTATTTTCATAATTATTAAAATCAAAAAATTCAAATTTATTCAACATCACTTTAATCAATCAATTAATCATTACATACACAACACATTAAAGGATTAGTAGGTAAGTATTTTAATTCATATCAATAAAAATTAAAGTATCAGCTAATGTCTTTTCTCTAACCAATTATTAAATTATGTTATGCGTAAATAAATAGTCCGTAAGTATTTATATTTTACAATAATGATCAAGATTTTAAGTTTATTCGATATTAAATAATATTTTTCTAATCAACTGTCAATTAACATTTAATTACCAGAATGTAGGTATTAGAATATTTATTATTAATATCAAAGTCTTTAGTTAATCAATATTAATTAACAATTCTTTAATCAATATTCAATCATTTTTACGAAATTGAATTACTAGTCCGTGAGTATTAACATTTGTAATCATTTTTAATATAAAATATCATAATTTCTTATTGGCGATAATATTTTATTTCTAGTTATATTTCTACATATGGAAAATGTGAAGAATGTCGACAGTCCAATACTGGATTAAATTGGTGTAGATCATGTAATGCCGAAAGATTTAGGAAAGAGTTTGAAAAATGGACAAGTGGAGATATTATGATTGATTGTTTCATTAAAGAAATGCAGTTTGAAGCATATAAACATGAAGAAGTTATTGAGTGGATACCTTTCGATAGATTTGACAAAGTGGAATATCTTGATGCAGGAGGTTTTGGTACTGTCTACAAGGCAAGATGGCGTGATGGATATATTATTTCTTGGGATTCTGAAGAACAAAATTGGTTAAGAAAGTCCGAGTGGAAATATGTTTGCTTAAAAAGTCTCAATACCTTTGAAGATGCAAGTCAATTTTTGCAAGAGGTAAACGACACATTTAATTTATGTCATTAATATTCACTCAATGTATTTGATTTAATCCTGATAAAAAATTTAGATTAAAAATCAACTCCAATTTCGAGGTGGATGGGCAATTGCAATATATGGTATAACTAAAAATCCAACAACGAATGATTATATGATAGTTATGCAATATGCACAGCAAGGTAGTCTCCGAAAAATGTTAAATAAAGAATTTAGTAGATTGGATTGGTATGCCAAATTAAAGATTCTATTTTATATATCTCATGGACTTGCAAAAATCCATGATTCTGGCTTGATACACAAAGATCTTCATTCTGGTAATGTGGTTCTTGAATCTTTAACTGATTCTTATATCACTGATTTTGGATTGTGTAAACCAATTTTACAAAATCTTGAAGAAATTTTGCAAAATAAAATTTATGGTGTAATTCCATATACAGCACCTGAGATATTGATGAGAGGAGAATATACTCAAGCATCTGACGTATATTCCTTTGGCATGATCATGTTAGAAGTATTTACAAGTTATCCACCATATTATAATACTCCACATGATATAAATCTGATTATGTCAATTTGTAAAGGGCAAAAACCTGAAATTAAATTTGAAATTCCCCAATTGCTAAAGAATCTAATGGAAAGATGTTGGGATTCCGAACCTTGCAATCGGCCAACTGCTAAAGAATTAGAAACTCAACTTAATGAATATTATTTTAAAGGCAATAATGAATTGAATGAACAATTTGGAGATGTTTATGTATCAAATAAGAATTTTATTCCGTATGATCCAAGCGAAGTACATTCTCAAGCGATATATAAAAGTAGATCTTTACTTTCTGATGAAGATAGATATTTTTATTTTGATAATACAACCAGTAAGTATATTTTGTAAGAAGTAATTTTATTGAAAAAGCACTAATTATTTATTTAGATTCAAGACAGATGCTTATGGAGCTTCCTAATATTTTTGAATTATACAATTTATAAATGGTAATTATTTCTTCAATAAGGATAAGATTCAATAATAAAATGAATTGATATATTAAGTACCATTAAATTAATTTATAGATGAAACGAGGGATATTGGTGAAGTTGGTAATGACAATGATGATGAAAACGACGAAGACAATGAAAATACAATATTTCTTGAAACAATTATTATGCTTTAAAATTTTATTTTTTTTAATGTCAAGATAATTTATATCTATCAATTTATTTTTATACATATGTATTTTAGTCGAAAACTGAAATTATGGAGAATAGTTTATTTAAATTAAATTAAAGCAGACCAGTATTTAGTCAACTTGTTTTCTTTTTAATCTCGCTATTATCACCTGCCATACTTGTGAATGTATGTGCATAAATATATTAAAGCATTATAGTGAGAACGAATTCTGACTATTATCTTTTGAAGAAGAGTAAAGAATTGCTAGTTAGAATAGGAAATTAAAGAAAAAAGAGCATAAATTTATTCTGGATTTTTAAATGTCAGGCAAAAAATTAAAATATTTTCTGTCTTATATAATTTTTTTTTTTTTTTTAAATCCAACGGAGTCTTGCACCAATAAACTTTTATTAATAAATTAGGTATAAAATTTAAAGATACATATAATTTATTGTCTTATATAATTAATAATTATAAAAAAATAAGAATAACATGTCCGCCGTATTTATAAATACTAGTATTTTATTTAATGAAAATGTTAAAGGGTAATTATGATAAATCCAAATATTGAATTTTTAGAGTTGCCTTGTCTAATAAAAAAAAATAAATTTCATTAAAAAAAAAAATAATAATTTATTAATAATATTATTTGAAATGGATATATCATATGATAATAAAAAAAAGTTTTTGCAATTTAGATACACAATTAGCATCGTAATTTTTTTAAAATTTTTCAACTTTTGACCAACCCACTGTATGTAAAGTAGAATTTTTTTTTTAAAAAAAAATAAATAAACCTGTATCAAAATTTATTAAGCCTATTGAGTCATCAAGCTTACATTCGAAAACCAAAGGTAGTTTCCTCAGACTTTGGAGATAGTATTTATGTATGACATTTATCAATTGTAGTTGTCATTCTACCTTTGGAGATAGTATTTATGTATGACATTTATCAATTGTAGTTGTCATTCTACAACTTTATGAATTTTCTAGATAAACAGGTACAAGTTCAGGCTCAGGCCAGGCAATGCCACTAAAACAAAATTATCTTTACTATATGCAGAGATAACACTTTGCATTGTAAAACTATATTATCATTTCTAACATTATTAATATTATTAATATCACTTAGAAAACACAGAAAAGTGAAGTCATATTTTTCATCCTGCGTGTAATATCATCATTATCGGCTTTAAAACTATAATAAATTTTTGGTAAATTTTTTGTACTATAAATGCCAGGTTAGGCAATCCACACACAATTTTGTTCGAGAGATTTAATAGTTGGGAATTAAGACTAAGACCGCAATCAAAACGAACAAACGTTTAAAACTGTTACTGTGATCTGTGAGATTTTTACCGAATATTATTAGTACACGTAAACGATTTAAGAGATACAATAAAATAAAAATAAAAATAAATAAATTATCAGATTAATAAATTATTTATTATTAATTAAATAATTATTAAAAATTAATAATAAAATAATACTCATTAATTAAATACATCATAAATTAATTCTGGAAGAGCAGTCCTGAAATAGACAAAAAATGACAAAATAGAAACGGATAGAATAATAATGTCACAATAACATGAAAAAACTTTATTGCCATCTTTAAATAGTATTTTTGAATTAATATTTTTTTTTCTGTTAAAAACTATAATTTGAAGTAACATGTTATGTACTAATATTAACATATTTGAAAGTGGTGAAGGTCTACCAACTGAAATGAGGTGGGAATTTTAGTTTTACTGTGATAAAAAGATTGTTCTTTAATTATAGACGCAAAAATATATTGACTGTTTCGTAGAGCAAGCTTTTTCAATTTTTATAATTCAATTATTCTGGACAAAGTCAGATGACCGAAAATGACCGAAAGAAAACGAAACTCAAATTGGGGAGCAAGGGATTTTAGTATGTCGTCGACTGTGGATGCCGGTAAGTCATCTTTGAGGGACAAGCAAAAACCATTATTATTTGAAAACTATTTTATAATTCATTATTTTGCTCATAATTTTATTTTATAGATATATTTTATATTGATTCAATTAATTTGGAAATAATAGTGCGTCAGATGGATTATTTGAATAAAATCAGGATCAAGAATGGTTTCGTCGTAATATTCGGAAATCAACTAAATACAAGTCTATGGAATATTATAAACTATAATTTGTAAAAATATTTCAGTATCATCTTTAGAAGAATCAATCTTTTAAAAAATGGTGAATTGAAATCTCAAGAGATTCAAGTATGAGTGGGTGTTGGCTCAAAATCCCAGCATTGGCTCAGATACTACGGAATAGCCTAGCGAAGACGTCTCTGTCATGGAAAATCTCTACGAAGAATGTTTACACACATTAGATTTAACAAAATTAAGCTTAAGATATCATAAAGTAAGGTAGCATAAAGTTATTATGCTTTCGTGTCAGTCCCCTTCTTTTTCACCGCGATTTGAAAGTAATACTCGAAAATGAAGCAAAATATTCGAGATTATCACAAACCTTCTATTATTACAGCAGAATTTGAGGCATTAATTTCTAATTAATCGAAAGGATAAATTCCTAGAGATCGGTGTGATAAACAAAGAACAATAATTAAAATTAAAGATACGGAACAATTTATTACCGGTCATAGTCCAAACCAATGGACAATAGCTGATAACTAAGGATAACTTTGTTTTCTCATTGGGTATGGGTCGAGATCTTCAAAACGAAGTATTTTTTTTCTTAGTCGAGTGGCTGATACCAAACAAGCCATACGTGGGTTTGTTGTGGTGACACCTTATTGAAGGATCTTGCGTTAAAAAAGATTATGAACGTTAAATAATTAATTCAAAAGCATTTACAATTGAAGATTTTGAAGTTTTAAAAATCATTAGAATTCATTAAATAATTTCAATAATTGCTATAATTTATTTATATAGCTTAAATATTTAATAAAAGAAGTTAAATTATTATTATTATTATTTTAAGGAATTAATCAAACAATATAAAATGTTATCAAGTGTTATGTTTTTTGCAATGCTATTAATGAATTTATTTTGTTATTATTATAAAATAATTTTTATAAAAAAGTTTCAATTATTGTAATTAATTCTCTATCATTAAAATAATTTTTATAATTAATTCTTTATCATTTATATTTATAAAATATGAACTACATTTAGTTGAATTTTAAACTGAATGTGAAAATGATATCTGATATTCATATTTCTTTTATTATTTAGACAACAGTATCACAATTTTTTTACGTAGCACAAGCTTTTTTAACGAATAGTATTAACTCAATTACTCCAAAAAAAAACCGACACTCAAGTATTGGATACTGGTTCTTTGCAGACAATCAAAGATGAGTTTAGGATACAAGTAAGAACATAGTTTATGCTTATTGATTTTTTAACAAATAAAATTTCATAATAAAATTAACATTGATCTTATCATATTTTGCCATTCATTAGTCGGTAAGATTTAGATTTATATTAAAGTTTCAAGCTAATTTAGTATCAAATAAACTTCTCTAAACAATTATCAATTAATTATATGAATATCATATTATAGATTGTAAGTTTTTAGATTCGCAATTAATTGAAACCAAAATTTCGAGCTAATTCAATATCAAATAACACTTCTCTAATTAATTATCAATCAACTACGTGAATATCATATTATAGATTGTGAGTATTTAGATTCACAATTATTGAAACCAAAATTCCAAGTTAATTCAATATCGAATTAATCAATTATCAATCAACTGCGTGGATGTTATATTATAGATTGTAAGTATTTAGATTCATAATTACTGAAACCAAAATTTCAAGCTAATTTAATATCAAATAACACTTCTAACCAATTATCAATTATCTGCATAAATATTTAATAATCAGTGTTAAGTATTTGTATTCATAACCATTGAAACCAAAATTTCAAGCTAGTTCAATATCAAATGACACTTCTAATTAATTATCAAATTTATTAATAGGGCGTGAGTATTTATATTCATGATCATTGGAACCAAAATTTTAAGCTAATTCAATATCAAATGACGCTTCAAATCAATTATCAATTATTTGCATGAATATTTAATTATTAGTTAGTAAGTATTTAGATTAAAACCAAAATTTCAAGCTAATTCAATATCAAATAGCACTTCTAATCAATTTTCAATTATTTGCATGAATATTTGATAATTAGTGTGTAAGTATTTAGATTCATAATCATTGAAACCAAAATTTCGAGTTAATTCAATATCGAATAGCACTTCTCTAATCAATTATAAATTATTTGAACGAATATTTAATAATTAGTCGGTCAAGACTCCGTTGGATTTAAAATAATAATAATAATAATAATAATAATTAGTCGGTAAGTATTTAGATTCACAATTATTGAAACCAAAATTTCAAGCTAATTTACTATCATATAACACTTCTAATCATTTATCAATTATTTGTTTGAACATTTAATAATTAGTCGGTAATTATTTAGATTCATAATTACTGAAGAATAATAAATAATTAAATTTCAGAGAAACGTCTGATAATCAACCGTTAATATTAAGTCCAATTCCCAATTTAAAAATCTGAAACTTTCGCAGTATATGCTCTATATAATAGTATTTAACTTTATTTAGTACTATTTATATTATTATATTAATAGATAAAGAGGTTTAATATGTAGATACGATTAGTAATTATTTTTCAATTTTTTTTTTGATCTTTTTAAGAATGATCGACACGAATTTTTACTATACTAAGTTTTCTTTAAAATTCAAACGATCATTATATTTTCAATTTTTGTTGAAAAATTCTAAAACTTTTGAAGTTGATGCACTTAATATTTGGCTTTAATTTTACTTAGTATAACTTTTATTGTTTTATTATTAAAAATAAAAGTTTTATATGTGACTACGATTGGCAATTATTTTCGAATTTTTAAATCCGTGTCGATCATTTTAAAAAATTTGAAAATACTTACTATTCGTATCTACATATTAAACTTCTTTATCTATTAATATAATAATATAAATAGTTCTAAATAAAATTAAAGACTATTAATATAGAGCATCTATTGTGAAAGTCTCAGATTTTTAAATCGGGAATTAGATTTAATATTAACGGTTGAATATTAGACGTTTTAAAATTATTTTCTGAAATTTAATTATTTATTATTCACTCAATTCACAATATATAGGACTGAAATTTTTAAAAAAGATGATCTATGTATCAGGCTTTAGGGTTACTTAGTACTACTTTTATTGTTTTATAAACAAATAATAAAATTACAGACGAATAAACGATCGATAATTATTTTCATATTTTTTTTTTATTTCAATCTTTATTTTTATTAAATTTCGGCCGTTTTTATTCACGTCTAAGTAAGTCTTCTAATTAAAGTTGTAGATATCATTTCTGGATACAGTTTTATATAAGATAGTTTGCATTTATCTTTAATATCCATCGAATCCGGTATGGGTAACGTCCAAAGATTAAAATTATTATTTATTGTCACTTCTATTTAAAGTGTAATTACTCACTCGTAGACATTCAATTTTAACACAAATGCATTATACGATAACCTTGGTTCAGGGGAATCTAATAAAAAAAGTTTGCACAATTTTGATTATTCGTTGTGCCATAATTGACTTTTGAATAATGCTAATAAATTTTAAAAAAAGCCTCTGGTCCAATACTTTTCGAGGTGGATGGGCAATTGCAGTATACGGTATAACCAAACAAATGATTATATGATTGTTATGCAATATGCACAACATGGAAGTTTACTAAAAATGTTAAATGAAGAATTTAGCAGATTAGATTGGCTTGCAAAATTAAAAATTATATATTATATGCTTTTGGACTTGTAAAAATCCATGAATGTTGGCTCGGTGCACAAAGATCTTCACTCTGGTAATGTGGTTCTTGAATCCTTAACTGATTCATAAATCACTGATTTTGGATTGTGCAAGCCAGTTACAGAAAATGATCAAAATAAAATTTATGTTGTAATTCCATACACAGCACCTGAGATTTTGAATGGAGGAGAATATTCTCAAACATCTGATGTATATTCTTTCGGCATGATCATGTTAGAAGTATTTACCATACTATAATGCTCAACATGATATAAATCTTATTATGTCAATTTGTAAAGGACAAAAACCTGAAATTAAATGTGAAATTCCCCCTGTTACTTAAGGATTTAACGGAATTCCGAACCTTGCAATCGGCCAACTGCTAAAGAATTAGAAACTCAATGAATATTATTTTAAAGGTAATAATGAATTAAATGAACAAATTGAAGATATCGAGGAATCAAATGAAAATTTTATTCAATACAATCCAAATGAAGTATATCCTCAAGCAATATACAAAAGTAGAATTTTACCTATTTTTGATAGAATATCTAGTAAATATATTTTGTAAGAAATAATTTTATTTGAGAAAAAAAAGTTAATTATTTATTTAGTTTCAAGACAGATATTAATGACACTTCCTAGTAACTCCAAAATTATAAACGGTAATGTATTTCTTAAATAAGATTCAATAATAAATTAAACTTAATATGAATTGATCATTAAATCTTCATATTTTGCGATCGAAATCAACGAAAACAAAAAAGTCGATAAAAACTATAATGAAAACAATGAAACTACCTACATCGTCGAAATTAACAAAACAACGGAATAGTATTAAAAAAACATAGCTTTAATTTGTTTTTTAGAAATACATGTAATTTCTTGAAACTAGTAACATTTAATTTTTTTTTTTTTTTTAATATCAATTTATCAACTTATCTATATTTATCGATTTATTTATCTGAATACTGGAATTATAGAGAACGGCTTTATTTAACTTAAAGCAGACCAGTATTTAGTCATTTAAAATAAATTATTCTTTTAAATATATTAAAAATAATTCAAATTTTATGTGAGAAGCATTTAAAAATGATTTCATATCACATGCACGTTTCGGTGGTCATCTACCAAAAATTCTCAAGATTAATGTTTATCGGTTTAGTTCCAGTTGAGATAATGAAAAAGAGCTTTATTTTTTATCTTATAATCAACTTATTTTCATTTTTTTAATCTCGTCATATCAGCTATAAAATTGGTGAATATACACGAAAGCATTATATTGAGAACGAATTCAAGAGAAGTTATTTGTATGGTGACTATTATCGTTGTGAAAAATAAAGGATTGTTAAGCAGAGTAGAAAATTAAAGAAAAAAAGAGCATATATTTATTCTATGAATTAATAATTAAAAAATAAAAATAATATGCTCACCTGAATTCTTTTTTTCACATTTATTTATAAATATTCGAAATATTTGAAATATTTGAAATATCTGAAATTTTGGGTTGCATTTTATTTAATGAAAATGTTAAAGAGTAATTATAATCATTTTTAATAAATTCAAATATAAAATTTTATTAGAATTAAATTCTAATAAGAATAAAATAATGAATAATAAATAAATACCAGATAAAATTATAAATATTAATAATAAATAATAAATAAAAATAAAATAATAAATAATAAATAAAATATCAGCCAATAAATTATTTTATTTTTAATAATTTCAATACAAAAATCTTTATAACAATAAACATGTGATAATTTACATTACTAATATTTTTACATTTTTTACATTATTTTCATTCATTCATATTATTCATTCATATAAATTTATTCTCATTAAATTAATTATAATTGTCATAATATTACCTTCAACATTCAAATATATGAAATTAAGGAGGGACAATGTATTTTTAATTTTTTATTCATTGAATAATATATATATATAATTGTATCTTTGATTGATCTATTTCTGTTGATTTTGTGATTGATTGGTTCCTGACTTTCTAAATTTCTAATGATGATTGGTTTTCTGTCTGTTTTATTTTAAGTTTAAAATTTTTTTCCTTTTTAGAACATCACATCAACACATCATCATCTTCATCTCCTCCTCAATTTTCTCTTTAGATTTAATTATATAACAATTTATAGGATTATAGAAATTATATATATATTAAAAATTATTATAAGTTTATCATATTGTACGCCTTTTAAATGCACAGTACAAATTACTATTATTAATTTACTATTATTGATCCCATAAATGTAAACAAATAATATCTGTACGATATGAATTTTAGAATTTCAAGTATCTACATTTTTTAAAGTAAATATTTTTTTTTTTTATATATATTCATTTCGAAAAAAAATTTTCAAAGATTAAAAAAGCACAAAAAAAATTATAAATTTAAAAAAATCACGAGAAATTAAAAAGAAAAAAAGTTAAAAATATAACAAATATTAAAAGAGATTTACACATATGGATTTAAAAGTTAATTTAAAGGTTATTTTAAATTATAAATAACATAATAAATATTATAAATAACAAGAATAGTATTTTCGTATAAATTTTATAAAGAACTTTAAATAACAGAAAATATCTACTCTATATCTATATGTGCTAAGAAGAAAAGAATTCTAAATAGAAACTTCGCAAATTCGCGGATAAATTATTTTGGTTTGACATATGTGTTTGTTGTTCGTTGTTTTTTTTTTGTGTTTGTTACTATTTTAGATATTATTATTTTTTTTTTATAGTGATGGGTAGCAGCGACTGTTTTATGTGCGCATATTCTATATTATCTGTTTATTATCAATATAATTTTAATATATATTCGTTTTTTACTTATTTTTTTGTATCTTTTATGTATCTTTGTATCTTTATAATGACAAAAAGTAATTTTGATGTGTTCTAAAAACATGATCAAAGTAACGATAATAATAATAATAATAATTTATGCTAAATTTTATCTTTGATATCGCGTGTCAATTTTAAGTAATAATTAATTTAATTATCTATAATTAGTGCCTCCTTTGAATCGGACGTTCGGATGCTCAAATTTCGGAAATGTGCGAAAAAATAAATAAATAAGATAAAAATAGAAAAAATATAATAGGTTTAATTAGATCGAAATCTTAGATAGAATAAAAAATCATAAAAAATTTGAATTTTGAAACAATTTGAAACAATTTAGCGACTTTTTATTAACCCAATGGTTGAATTGTAAACGTGGGTGTACATCTTCTTTATCTTATTTTCTGTATGCAAAGAATTTCTTATTGTTATTACTGTTATTATATTGTATTTTATTGTTAAAGGTTTTTCCTTATTAGTTTTTTTTTGATAAATTTATATAAAAAAAAACGAATTTCATTCTTTTTTTTTTTTTGAAAATGGATTAAATTAATTAATTAATTAAAAAATTTTCGTCATAAAATTTTCTTTATATTAAAAAAAAAAATACTGTAAAATAAAATAAAATAAATAACTTTAATTAGAATGAATTTCTCAAATCCATCACCGTCACTTCAAAATATTACAACATTTCCACAAGAGATTTCTTTACAATTTTCTCCAATAGGAAATTCGACAAATTTATCAACAGATTCATCCACGAATCCAACTATAACAACACCTTCTACTATGACATATTCAACAATAACAATGAATTTACCACCACCGCCACCACCAATGCAAATAACAATTCCATTTCCACCACCTCTACATGATAAAGATCTTATACCTAAACTTAAAAAAGGAAAAATGCCATTACGAACGACTAATCAATTTTTATTATATCGAACCGCTTTAATTAATACTTTACATAGCATTGGATATGAAGAATATAATATGAGAAACATTTCTAAGATGGCTTCAGAATTATGGAAATTAGAACCGAATTATGTACAAGAAGAATATAAAAAATTGGCTAATAAAGTTAAAAGAATTTATCAAGATATGGAAATAAAGAATATAGATACTAATAAAATTGAAAATTGTCATGAAAATAATAATAGAAATGATGTGAATGAGAATGAGAACAGTAGAGATATTGATAAAGATGAAAACGAAAATGACAATAAAGACAACAGTAATAATAATAATAATAATAATAATAATAATAATAATAATAATAATAATAATAATAGTAAAGATGATGGTAATGATGATGATAATAATAACCATTATCTAAAGAAACTGAATTTTAATAGGAAAGAAAAATCAATCAATCTTAAAGAAAATAAAGAAATCAGTGAAGAATCTCATTATTTATCTCGTTTATCTAATTTATCTTATCATCCGAATTATTTTCTTATGGATAATAATAATAATAATAATAATAATAATAATAATAATAACTATTATAATTCTCCTATTTATGATCTTTCTTCCACTACTACTTCTCTTATTTCTCCTACTATTTCTCTTATTTCTCCAACTACTCCCACTCCTTGTACACCTTCTTTTCTAACCCCTATTCCTATTGATGCATTAAATGTACAAAATAATTTAATTATGGAATTAGATCAAGGGAATAATATCAATGATCAATACAATCAATATAATCAATATAATTATTTATCTTTTGATCCTCGTTCCTATTCCCATTGTTATAATTCTTCCTCTCCTCCTCCTCCTCCTCTAGGTCATTCCATTCATCCAGGTCATAATAATCATCGTCACGTTAATCGACAATATAATAATCCTAATCCACATAATCATAATAATAATAGCGATAGTAATTATTACATTATAAATAGATCTCAGTTCAATGATTATCAATTTTAATATTAATTGTACACATTTTTTTTTCAATTTTTATTTTTTTTCTTCTGTATTTTCATTTATTTAAATAATAAGTATAAAAACAATATAATTAAACGCATATTTTCTGTTCCCTTCTTTTATAATGTAAATTAACTATTTTTTATATTTTGACATCGAAAAAAAGCAATATATGATATATTTATTCACGTGATATACTCAAAAAAAACGTGAAGAAAATTCATTTCATATTTGATATTCTTATTTTATTTAATCTTACAAAAAATGAATTTTTCTTTTCAACATATTTTACATAATAATAAAATAAATAAATGAAATTACATATAATTACATATAAGTAGAAACTTTTTTTCTTTTTTTTTAGATAAATAATTGGAGATTTAGGAAATAGGAAATTGGAAAGATTGATAAATAATAATTTAAATATAATCGCGACAATAATATAAAATATTAATCAATGGTATGGCATAGATTTTACATTTTTATCTCTTAATAAAATAATCTTAATATTGTTTTTATTGTTTTTATTGTTAAAAAATAATATTTTTTTTAGAGCCATATTTTTAGATTTTTTTTTGAGCATAGATTCTAAAATTGAAATTTATTAAATTTTTAGAAATTAAAAAAAAAAAACTTTAAAAAAAAAAATAAAATTAAACTTAAGAAAAATAAAATATTACTTTCTTCTTCTTACCTAGAAATTTTTAAACAATGTTTATTTGAGTCAATCTCTGAACGACATAATTGTAACATTTTATCAAATTCTTCATGAGTAATCTCCATAAATTGTGATAAAGCAGGTTTAACAGCTAAATTAATATTCATAATATTTGCGGTCATCTAATATGTGAGGATATAAAATCAGCGAATGAATGATCGTAAATTGAATGGATTTAAATAATTGAATGTTAAAATAAATAAGTATAATGTGTAGAGAAGTGTGAAATTAATTACCATTTCACCAAGTCTTCCACCCCATGGTCCAACAAGAACTGAACATCTTTTATGTTCAACGTTTTTAAGTTGTTTATTATTTCTCAGACCATTTTCAATAATGGGACAAACATCCAAATTTATATTAAACTTGGCAAGAAATTTATGGACTATCAATAAAATAAAATAAAATAAATTTTAATAAAAAAAAAAAAAAAAAATTAAGGAAAAGTAAAATTATTTAAAAACTACTAACATGAATAAAATAATTTATGGCAATTTGGATTAAGAGTTTCATCGTATTTACAATTTTCAATTTCCCTAAAATAAATAAAATAAAAGTAATATAAAAAATTTAGGTCAGATTAAAAAAAAATTAAAATAAAATAAATAAACAAAATAAATAAATAAAAATCGTGTAAAAATGGTAAAAAAAAAAACATACATAAATTCAATCCAACCACCAGGTTTAGTTATTCTAATAAGTTCTAGAATTACATCTTTCCATTGAGATTCTTCCAATGCTGTACTGAGAGATCTTTGGTGAATGAAATCAAATGTACCATCCTATAATATTAAATTATAAAAAAAACATTAAATTTTTTTCTGTGTATATATATATAAATATATATTTATCTATTATTTTTTTACCGGAAACGGAAGACCATCTAATAAATTTAATTGAAGGAAAGACGCATTAGGTGGTTTTTGCTTCTCAGAAGGAAATATTGGAGAAATATCCAAACCAACAAATATTGCCGATGGAAAAGTGCGTGCCATATCAATCACCCATGAACCTGGACCACAACTAAATATCGTTAAAAAAGAAAATAATTATAAGAATTATATTAAATCATAGATTAATAAATTAATAAATTAATAAATTAAAAAAAAAATATATAATATAAAAAAAAACACGAAAAAGTTAATAAATACAAAAAAAAAATAATAATAATAAATACCCAACGTCCAAAACAGTAGCACCAGGTTTTTTTAAAGTCTGTTGAACAGGAGATGAAAAATTTCCTTTCCAAATATGTTGATATAAATAATGTTCTGTTTGCAGACGATCAACTTCTCCAATATCATTCGGAAAGAAATATTTTGCATCAAATACATTATGAAATCTTCTTCCTCCAATGTATCGAAATGAATCAAGTATATATTCATCAAATCCTTCTTTACTTCCTCCATTCTCGAATTTCTCGTTGGTTTTATCTAATTATTATAATAATAATAATGATGATGATAATAATAATAATGTAAAAAAAAATGTTAAATTATTATAATTCTCTTATTCAAAAGTATTATTATTGATTTTAATAAATAATGAATAAAGATATACCCATGTTTGATTTATTGATGTTTGTCTTTTGTGTTACAGCAACAATACGCTAATATTAGAATATCTGGTATTTGGCGATCGGGATGGTAATAATGAACGAATGAAGAATGGAAAATAGCGGAGAAAAGGATAAAGGAGAGGATCTCGAAAAAGAAATCAAAAAAGTTGATGAATATGGCTATGAATATAAAATAATAAAGCAGCAAGCTTTATGGTCAGTGGGTAAGTGTGGTTAACAATAGTGTAAGAAATATAGAATGAAACCAAAAATGATAATTAAAAAAAAAAAAATAATAATCGGATTCGCTCTTGACCGAGGAATCAAAATTTCTTTACTCGTTTTAACGTGTATTTATATAAAAAAGAATAAATAATTTACATTTAATAATAAATAACAATGAAATACATTAATAAGATAAATATTCAATTTTTTTTTTTTCATTAAGATGTTGTGTTATTTCGAATGAAATATAATATACACTGTATATGAAACATATATAAAAATTATTTATAAAAAGTATTCAAAATAATGTATCATTGAAAATCAATAAAGCTCGTTCTTCTTGCTTAACAATCTTTCTTAAACTTGAAATTATAATTATATATTATTAATTGAATATTTTAATAAGCAATTGATTATTAATTATGAACGGGTTTAAATATATAAAAAAAAAGCGGAAAAAATAAAGATATTTTTATACATTTATTTTGCTTATATAATTATATATTTTCATATTTTGTAAATATATTTGTTGTATGGATTTTCTAAAATAAGAGAATAAATCAATAAGGTGACTGCAACTTGAAAAAAAACAAACAAATGAAATATCGATAAAAATGATAATTGAGATTCGTTTGTATTTAAGAAACATGTATTGTATATAAAAATATAATTATAAAAAAAGAAATCTAATTATAAAAATTTATATCCGAATTATTATATTTTTTTTTTAGAACGAATCACAAGAATCATAATAACGGCCAAGAAGTCCCTTTAGGAAATTCGGGATTATTTGGTTATTCGACAACGAAAATATTATTCAAAATATTATTTGAAGTGTTGTCTATGCTTGGTCCTACCTACAACAGATAAAAATTTTATTTTGGTTATGTATTTATATTTATATTTATATACATAATTAGAGTCATTATTATTATATTTATTTATATTATTTATATTTATATATTTAATGTAGATAGAAAGAAATTGGGCGGATTAAAAGATAATACCTATTGTTAAAAATATAATTGGTCAATCAATTTGTTTGTTTTTTTTTTTAGATTTTATAATATCCGATTATATAATATTGTACAGTATATTATATCTCATCAATATCATCAATATCACCAATCATTTAAATTACTATAATAGATTTTAATAAATCCACGAAAAAAGATAACACAAAGTACATTGTTACGCATATATTAATGAAATTATATATACCCAAGAATCTGAGAAATCCGAGAAATCCGAGAGAAATTTGAAAATAGAATTCTACAATAAATGTATATAATGTATAATATTATAAATAATGCTATTTATGTATATTTGTTTATGACATTTTTTTGCACATGTATTTACAAATTCTTAAGATACCCTTGATTATAAATTAATAATTCTGCATGCATATTTGAAGTTCAAGATTTGACGCTTTTAAAATTCTTTGAAAGATGATTTGTTATAATTGTAATAATGTAAGAACGGGGCGAAGGCAAAGACAAGACAAAAACCAAGAAAAAATTTTAAATTTCCAAATTATTTATGATTGAATATTTTGTTCATCAATAATAATAACGATCGATTCTTATTTCGTATAACAATTTCAAAACTATTTGATTTAAAATGTTTCGAAATAAATAAATAAATAACTAAATAAAATAACTAAATAAAATAAGTAATAAAATAAATAATAAAATAAATAATAAAATAAATAAAATAATGTTATATTCAAAAAATATTTGCTAATCTCATTTAGTTCTTCCGCTAATACCTAAAAGTGTTGTGACACGTATAGAATAATGCACTAAATAGTAGAGTAATAAAAGTCATAATCGTATCATCAATTTCATTTGGCCATATTAAATAATGCATAAAGCAATAAATTTTAAATAATACATAAAGTATTACACAAAGCTTATATTCTTGTTTTTTTTTGTAATTTAAACATTTAGAACTTAACTTAATTCAAACAGTGAAGAACCGAGTCAATGAATTATATTTTACATATATCCAATCCTGCAGTATATTACATTTAGTTCCCTGTTTTTTTTTAAAAAAAAAAAAAGTAATGCACAAAGTAATATTTATTAATAAATTCCGCCCCTATCTCAATGCTTAGATACCAGACCTTTATTATGTAATTTCAAAACTTTTATTAAAATATAAATACGTAAAAAAAATAAGTAAAAAAAAATACGTAAAGAAATACGTAAAAAAATACAAAAAAAAGGAACCGAGTATTTAAAAACTCGAAGATATTTTCTATTACTGAAGAAATTCTGTTCTAGAACCTGCATATGATAAAAATTTTCCATTTCTTTGTTAAAAAAAACTGATACACCACATGGTTGAAGACCAATTGGTGTAACTCGGTGAAACTTTCATCCTCGGTCGGAGTAATAGGGTGGGTAATCAGGTGAGTACATATGGAAATGGTACGGAAGGGGTACGAATGGATCGGATACTACGGAGGAGCGGAAAACTTTAATCACATGATTTCTTGTGTCATAATAATTTGCATAAATATTTTCTCTCATCCAATTGTTGTTTAATTGTCTGTCAATTATACAAAAACTGCGTTTTTGAGAACCATAAAATACAATAAACAAAAAAAAAAAATTTTTTTTGATGTAAGACGCCTCCTGAACGTTTCATCAACCATAATTTTATTATACATTAATATTTTTACTTTGGTTCACATTATTATTTCTTATAATTATTTACTGTAAGTATCTTTTTTTTTTATATTTTAAAGTTGAATTTATTATCGTTTACAGATTCAAAAACGTAACGTTTAGGTAAGCATTGATTTATTATTTATAAATTATTATTATAGTTTTTCTCTTTGAATTTATTTATTTCTTGAAATTATTTTTTTTTTTGAGAGAGAGAAATTTTAAAAAATATAAAAAAAAAAAATGGCAAAATTTTTTATTTAAAGTAATATATATATTTATTTCTACGAATTGATAATAATAATAACAATAATAATGATAATAATAATAATAATAATAATAATAGTTTTAATGTTATCAATAAGATGTTGTCAGGGCTTCTTTTAATAAAAATTATAAGCCAGTTCATCTAGAAATCATTGAAATTTATGCTTAATTGATAATTTTAATTATCTATTTTTATAATTATATTTACTATATATAAAATAAAATGTGATAAACCCAACATATTTTGTACTACTGTTTAACTTATTTGAGATTTTTATGTATTTTTTATTTAATTTTTATTTTATTTCATTTTATTTTTTGATTTTTCACTTGATTTTTTTTTTTTTTATTCAATTTTATTATCATCATCATTTTTAATAATAAAAATATCATCCATCATCTTCTATTATTCTTTTGTCCACTATCCATTATTCCTTCCATTATGTTCGACTTTCCATTTTCCTCGATCCACTATCGTCATAATAATATCCACTATCGTTATATATAATAGTCATGAGATCAAAACCACTTCCTGCTGATGTTCTTCAAGAAATTTTTGATTATTTCTCGGATGATATGTTTACTCTACATTCTTGTATTCTTGTCAACCGTCTATGGTCCGAAGTGGCGACACCTTTATTTTGGAGAAAAACCAGTAATCTCCTTTCAATTCCTAAAAAATATATAATGGGTTCGATTTTTCGTAATTGGATATCTTGTCTTTCCGAAGAATCAAAAAATATATTATCAGATAATGGTATTATATTAACTTCTCCAATCAAACGTCCTCCCATGTTTGATTATCTCGGATTTTGTCGATCACTTTCCTATTGGGATATAACAAAGGTTGTTGATGATGCGTATAATTTAGAAGTTGAAGATTTAGTTTCCATCAATAGTGGTGGTCTCGATAATTCTAGATGTTTATACAACAAATACTTAATCAAGCAAGAACTTTTCAAGACAATTGTTAATCGTTGTTCTTCAATTGAATTTCTTGATATTAGTGAATCTGTTCATTTGGATATACCTTTACCTCATTTATCTGGTGCCGAAATTTGGTTTTCAAATTTACGTGAATTACATTGTGATGTTTCAACTTCCAGTGGATTTTATTATCGATTAGCACAAATTTGTCGAAATATTGAAATTATAAATTGTTTTTATGCTTCAAGGGATAATAATGGTTTTGCAATTTTAATTGAAGTTCAAAATAATTTACAACAATTGGGATTTAAAATTTCTCATGGAATTTTTAGTAAAGCTTGTCCAAATATTGAACGTGCATTATTATCACACGCTGATACATTAACTCATTTAAGTTTAAAAGGGGAGAGTATGAGTATTCCATTAACTGTAATTTCTGCATTTAATAAATTACATACTCTTGAATTACATTTTACGGATAATATTAATCAAGAAATATTAGAAAGATTAGAATCCAAATCATTTCCAACTTTAAGAGTTCTTAAAATGGGAGGTATTCTTGCGCCATTAGAAATGATATTAAGACTTATTCGAAGAACTGGAGGAAATCTTAAAATAATTTCCTTATATGGATTTGTTCTTCCAAAAGAGGAAGTTGCAAGAATTTTCAATAATGAAATTATTCCAAGATATTGTAATAAACTTGAATATGTTACAGTTTGGTGTACAGAAAAACATTTCAAAGATATAGAAAGAATTTTAACATCATGTCATCAATTAAAAGGAATTTCAATGAGAACTCTTCCTACCGATAAAAAAAAATTAAATGGAGATCCATTATTTCAATTGTTATCAAGGGAAGCACCAAAAAGTTTAACTAAATTACGAATAAGGGGTAAATGGGATATAACTCCTCAAGCTTTGGATACATTTTTATCAATAAGAAAAATTGAAGGAAAAAAATTATTTTCAATTCATATCTGTTTAGATGAAGGAGATATAGAAATTACTTCAATGCATAATGAAGTTATAAAAAAATATCAAAAATGTGGAATTTTAAAATATGAAGTCGAAGGAAAATTTACTGGAGAATTTAATTAAATTCCAAACTATTATTGAAAATTTTATACAATTTTTTTTTTTTTTTATTATTCAATTTATTTCAAAGAAATATCAGAATTTGAATAAATTTGAATAAGTCAATATACCAACATTATCATGAATATAGATATACATATTGTATATATATATTTCATAAAAAAAAACAATTTCTTTTTTTTTTTTTTTGCAAAATTATAATCTGATCTGATTCTTTTTTATAACCACGATTTCAAAAATTTTAAAATTGATTGATTATTGTTGATGTTGAGTTACATAATCAAAAATTGGAAAAAAAAATAAAATAAGCCTCCATTAACAAACAATATTCGTTAATCTATTCCCTTGTTACTCGGGATAAATATTCTTAGAATCAAGAATTTGAGAATATCGTATCGTTACGTTCATGATGATAACTTTAATTTTAGTATTTTTTCATTATATTCCAACATTTGAATTATGAATCTCCTAAATGATGAATGTGTTCTAATTATAAGAAAAAATATATTCATACATTCCATGATGAATTTTAAAAATATAACATCAAGAAGACAACTTTATGAAAATAAAAAAGAATGAAATTCCTATTTTCTCTTATAATCCTCTTCAATTAATTTTGAAGCTCTCCAAGCAGTCATACAAACTGGTGCAAAAGTATTTGCAGCAGGAATACTAGGAAATATGGATGCATCAACAACTCGTAGATTTTCAGTTCCATAAACTCGAAGTCTATGATCAACTACACCACCTTTCTCTTTTAATGACATCTTTACTGTACCGCATGGATGGAATGAAGTGAAATGCTATTATCAAGTTTTTAAAAACAATTATAAATTTGAAAAACAATTGTTTTAAAATTAAATAAAAAATTATAAAGAAAATAAAGAAGAATTTAAAGAGAAATAAAGTAGAAATAAAAAGAATACCTTCTCACGTATAAGTTTCTCCCAGTCATTATCAGACATATTAACACCATCACTTGCCCATTGTCCAAATTCATCAGTTATTCCAATATCTTTTGTTCCCCAATTAGTTGTTAATGGAGGACGTTTAATAATCTCTTTACATAATTTCATTGTACTTATTAATCTATACATATCTTCCGCTTTATCAAAATAATTAAGAAATATTTTTGGTTGTTCAAAAGGATTTTGACTTGCAAGTTCTAAATGACCAACACTTGATGGATAATTAAGTGCTGGTGATAAAGTAATTCCTTCTCCTAAAAATGGTACTTCTCTATTGATTGGATTTATAAGTTCTGAATCAAATATTACTGGAGCACCTAAAAGCATTATATTTAAATTATATTTAAAAATTATATTATATTAGTTATTGCATTAATTATCTTCTTTTCAAAATTTAAATAATAATAATTATAATAATAATAATAATAATAATAATAATAATAATAATAACAATAATAATAATAATAATAATAATAATAAAACAAATAGTGATAACAATAATAATATTGATAACATATAATATTTTTTATATTACATGTAATTTGGATATCAGGATGCTCATTATGTAATTCTTCTTTCGTAGGTATTCTTCCTTCCTCATTTGCTTTGTGAAATATAACAACTTCTGGTCCATTAGTCCAAGAATTCATACATGATTTCAAAGTGGAATTTGGTTTATCTACCTTCGCAGAAAACATTGTTAATGGATGATCATATAAATTCTTTCCAACAGGTAAATCTTCACGAACTTTAATATTATTCATGCTTAAATTATTTCTTGGACCTATTCCAGAGAGCATAAGTATCTGAAATATAATATTTTAATTAAAGAAATAAAAATTTAAATATACTTTAATACTTTATTTATTTTAAATATATATATATATATATTTCTTACATGTGGACTATTGATTGCTCCAGCACTTAAAATAATTTCACCTTTTGGGGCAATATAAGCTTCATGAAGTTCTCCACCAGAAAAATATTTGATACCTCTTGCTATATTACCATTGGAATCCTCATCATCATCCCAAATTATATTTAAAACATGAGCATTGGATTTTAAATTAACAGCTGATATTTTACAAGCATCAGAAGATAATTTAAGATAATCTTTAACAATTTCTTCATCCTTCACTACTTCAACCTTTTCTAAAGCTTTGGTAAGATATCCATCTACTGCTGAACATCTCATTTTATTTTTAATTGATGCCTAAATTTTAATAATCATTTAATATAAATTATTAAATTTTTTCTAAATCATTTGTATTTTCTTATCAATTTTTCTTCAAAGAAATAAGATGAAATAAGATAAATACCTGATAACTTGCTACACCATTCTTCAATCAAAATAAATGTCAAATAAATATAAGATATAGTGATAAATTTAAAAGAAAATAAAATTTTTAGTAATAAAAATTTTCAAATACCTGTCTAACACCATTATAATCTTTATTCTCCGGTATACCGAAATCTACAGCAGCCTTTTTTAAATCTTTCATAACGTCAAATATGCTATCTCCGTGCTCAAAAACATTTATTAAACCATTAAAACCACGATATTTTTTGGTTTCTTCATCTGGATTTTCTCTAGAGATGCTCTCGATTGCCTTGAAGGCTGTATATATGTAGTTATATTAATATTTAAATAATTTCAATTTAATTATATTATACTTTATATTATAACTTTACATTATCTATATCTATTATAATATCAACATTTATACACAGGAATCTTTTTTTCTTTTTTTTTTTTTAAAAAAAAAAAAAATACCTTCGAGACAATGTTCATAATCCCATATTTTGTATTCGGGTCCTCCTTGACTTGCCCAATAATTATAGTCCTCAGGATGACCACGTCTAAATATAAATATATATTATATATTAAAACTCAAATGTAATCTTTCTATGTGTTATATGCAATATTGAAAAATTAACTTACACATAAACCATGGCATTAACTGAACTACATCCACCCCAAACTTTTCCTCTTGGATAAATAATAGATCGATTTACTATATCTTTAGTTGGATCAGTTGTACTAGGCATTACTTGACGTTGAGTAAGGTATGACCAATCAATTTCGTTTGTTCTCCAAAGCTAATTTAAACAATTTAATAAATTAAATAAATGATTTAAATTATTTTTTAAAAAAAAAATTTAAATAATTTTAATTAAAATTTTAAAATAATTTAAATAATTTTAAATAAATTAAATAAATTTAAATAATTTAATTTAAAAGATTAATTAATATCATTAATATCTTAAAATTTTTTTAAATAATTAAAATTATTAATTCTTACTGTACTATGCACAAACGGTAAAGTGATCCTATCATTAATTTGAGAATCCGGGGGACCGGCTTCCAATAGTAAAATCTTGATATTTGGTATATTTTCTATGAGCTCTTTGGCGAGAACACATCCGGCGGATCCAGCTCCCACAATAATAAAGTCATAAATTTCTTTAAATCTTATAAATTTAATCATATCTCTATATTGAATACTTTTTGACCAAAGATCTCTAACATACGCATCGTGGGCTAATTGAACTTTTAATGAATCATGAGATGATGTTTCTAAGATTTTTTCAATCGTTATATTTTGAAGTTCTTCCTTTTCTTCTTCAGTGGGTGGAGAAAATATTGTATTTATAATTGATAATGCATTATTCCGTTGTTTTTGATTATGTTCCAACAATTTTTGAGCTAATTTTTTGGTATCTTTAAATGTTGATGGAATTTTTAAATTATTCTCGGGTACAGTAGAATAATATTTAGAATAAATGAATTGAATAGGAATCTGTGGAATTCGCCAAAATCCATTTCTTGATTCATTTTTCAATCCGTTTTTTAATCCATTTCTTTTGATGTAATGAAAAAAAGATGGATTTCTTTTTAAAAATTTATTGGTTTGTTGTTTGAACATTTCTTCTTAATATCTTGTATGTAATGAAATAATATGATGGATATTAATTGGAATACGAATGATTGTCTAAATGAAAAACAAAGTTTATTTTATTTGATATTTAAGAAAAAATTTTTCTCAGTATAAATTTTTTAAAAAAAAAAACGGAATTCAATCAAAAATCAAGAGCATGATTAGATTACGTATCTTTACATAAAAGAAAATTAATCCGTGATGTTGATTCGTCAGATTTACATAAATGCCAACTTTCCCATCCTTTTTTAAAAATGTAATTTTATTGATGTTTGTCATTTGAAATCAAAAACATGTTTAAACCAGAACCATTGCTTCTTTTCACATTAATGGAGAAAGTGAATTTTAAGTTATTGTTATACATATTATGGTTCCTATATGTAGATCTATTTCCGAATCACGAATTAAATAAAAAGTAAAGTTTATTTTATTAAAAATATATTTTATTTCACTTCTATTTTTGTCCTATTTATTGTAAAAAAAAATTAATGCTTTTTATATAATCTCTCTTAAATACATCTCGTAAGTTAATTTCATAATAAATTTTAATAAAATAAATAAAAATTTGTTTTTTCGCGAAAACAATCAAAAAAAAAAATTTGATTGTACTTTAACAATTATTGATTAAAGTGCTTTTAGTATTTTTTTTTTTTTTTTTCATTACAATTTAAGTCTATAAATATAAAAATACTTTCTGAGTTACTCTTTACTCTTTGACGAAATGGATCAGACAAGCTGAACGGAAAAAGCGGGCTTCAAAAAATATTATTTGAATAGTTTCATTACCACGTTTTTAGTAACTTGTCGTAACGTTTGAATGATCATAATTCAATTGAACCTTATTGTAAAACGAATATGATAACGCGCAACTTAAATACTTTTTTGAATATGGTTTCTCAAAATAATAAATTAGATATTAATATATGAAACGATTATTATTTGATAAGCGAGGCATAATAATCAAAGAATTGCCGATAAAAGAAGCATGATAATGTATTATAGGTATTATTTTTTTATAGTAATAATGGATTTTATAATAATGTATTTCTGTAATAATGGATTTTATAAAATTATTTTTAAAATCTTCGCCTTCCAAGATTTACTTTCATTTTCGTAGCGCTTAATTACGCATTTATTTTGTCTTGTTGAATGAAATTTAATTAATTTAATTGTATTTTATTTTCATAAATTATAAAAATACATTAATAACCTTCAAAAATTTCATGATGGACAATTAAAAAGAATAACGATGTTTTACAAGTCAATCCATGTAGAAATTGTTCTTCAGAATAATAATCGAAAAGGTTCTTTTGATAAAGAGTAACAAATTTTTTTATTTTTCTTATTTTTAAAATTTACATGAATCAATTGCATTTTTTTAAAGTTAGAGTCAAAAATTTTTTCAAAAAAATATAAATATATCGTTAAATATTTTAAAATATAACTGTTTACAAAAGGACCAAAAAATTGAAAATAGATTAATAAGTATAAACAAACTTCGATATAATAAAAATAGCGCTTAAAAATTAAATTCTTTAGATAGTTTTCTTATCGACTTTGAAAACTTCATAATCAATAATTGAAAATTTTCCATTTGCTCTAATTGATTTTCATAACTACTGCTATTACAAGACCCAGAATTATTATCTAAAGTAAAACCAGAATGATTACTCCTCAAATAAAGATGACATGTTTCAAAATTAGGACCTACTAAATTTTGATGACCTTTTTCACAATAATAAAGTGTATTTTCAAGTTTCTTTACTCTACTAAGAATTGAACTTTGAATATTATCATTTTTCAATGAGAAAATAAAACTATCCTTCGTGTACATATAAACATCATTATTCTTTGTATTATCCCACATTAAAGGATTATAACCACCTAAAATTTCGTCTATTCCTTTAACTTTTATGATAACACATGTTCCAAAATGTTAGAGGAGCAAATCCACTTTGCTTCCTCGTAAAATCAGCTGAAATTCATATGGATAATCTGTCAAAGAATAAGTAGTAATTTTACGATCAATCCAGGATGAAATTTCTGTTGCATGTTGAATCAAGATAATAGTTGAAAAAAATTCTTTAGAACGGAAAGTCAAATCTTGAATTAAGATTGATCTTGCTGGCAACATAACTGATTTCATTGTCCTGTTGGGAGACATTAAATGTTGTTTTAATCTTTCCAAAGTTGTTTGTCAAGAATTTTTTTGTAAGGTTCTACTTTGTCTAAAATGTCATCACCAGAGATATTTAAATATCTAATAAATGTTGGAGAGTGGCTTTTAAAGTTAAAAAGTTCTTTATGTTCCATTCATCAAGGTTTGTAGGTAAATTAGAATTCTGAGAAATTCCTCATTTGATAGTATATTCCCGGATTTTTGCTTCTTCTACTTGTAAATCATCTCGTTTGAGAAGAGATACCAATGCAGTTTCTTGAAGAGATGTAAAATTTTCAGAATCAAAAATAAGACTAGGATACTTTGTTACGATATCATTACAAAAATTTTCTGTATCTTTAAAGTTATTATTATTAAAAATTGAACGATATACAAAAGAAAATGTGTTTTTAACCAGGAAGCTTTTTCTTTGATGAGGATAGTTTCTAATTTCATGGAAAATTCTTCAAGTTCAAATTTGTTAACAGCTAACATCAAGTCAAAAATAATTCTTGTTTCGATATTCTCTAAATTAACCATAATATATCTATATAATTAATATAAATAAATAATTATTATTGGTTAATATCATTTTAATTTTAAATAATTGGAATATAAGAATAATTTCAAAAATTTAAGCAGAAATGTCCAGTTTAATAATTGTCTTGATATTATTTTCATTTGGATTAATAGTATCCAATTCTCTACGGAAATATGATGACCGACATTTTAATACGTTGGAGTGTGCAGTAAATTTTTTTTTTTTATTTTCAACTTCAATGATTATATTGTAGTCATCTTTTTCATTAAGAATTTCATAAAGTTTTGAGATTTCAAAGACATTATCTTATGTAAATTGTATAAAAAAAGCAAATTAAATATTGTTTCTTGTTACACATGCATAAAACCAAAAATAAAAGATGAAGAGAAATTAATCACGTGTTTAAGTAGATAATCAAAAAACATCTCACCTAACCACAAGAGAAATGATGAAAACAGGAGGAAAACCTTGGCAAGCAACAACAGCATCATCACTATTGATTGGTTTAATATTAGGAGTAATAGTTACCGTTTCAACAAATTCAATAATAAATTGGATCAAATCGAAATATGTAGATAATAAAAAAAAGGATCCAAGTTTCGTTAAAAGTACGGAAATAACGGACGGTATAGTGGGATTAATAGGAAATACTCCATTAATGCGAATCAAGAGTTTAAGCGAAGCAACTGGTTGCGAAATATTGGTATTTCATAATTAGGAAAAGTCTCATTGTAGATTTCTCATAAACTTTATTATTAATTCTCTCTCTTTTATTAATAATATGTTTATCGGATTTTATAATAGGGAAAAGCAGAGGTAATAGGTTGTGATTATGTTATTTATGCGTTGTTTTTGTTCTCGTGGTAATTCAGAAAAACAATAATTTATATAATAAATATAACATAAATAAATAATTAATTAATTATAATAGTTTTTAAATCCGGGTGGTAGTCCTAAAGATCGAGTAGCTCTCAATATAATTAATAAAGCAGAAGAAAAAGGATTAATAAAACCAAATACTGGATGTACAATATTTGAAGGGACAACCGGATCCACTGGAATATCAATAGCAATGGTATCTCGAGCTAAAGGATATAATGCATGGATCGTCGTTCCTGATGATCAAGCTGAAGAGAAATATCAATTATTAGAAAAATTAGGCGCCACAGTAGAGAAAGTGCGACCGGTCGGAATTGTTGATAAAAGACAATATGTTAATTTAGCTCAAAGTCGTGCACAAGAATTTGGAAAAATTAAGAAAAAAATAAGCTTTGAGAATAATGATGAAGATAAGCAAGGAGATAATAATGATGATAACAATAATAATAGTGATGATAATAATGATGATGATAATAATAATAAGGGGTCAGGATATTTTGCAGACCAATTTGAAAATTTGGCAAATTTCGAAGCACATTATAAAGGAACCGGTCCTGAAATTTTTCAACAAACCAATGGAAAAATTGATGCATTTGTAGCGGGAGCAGGTATAAATCCATATTATATAAAAAATTTGCGTTTTATTCTATTTTATTAGATATTTTTATTAATAACATATTCTTTTTATATAAAAAGGTACCGGAGGAACTATTGCAGGAATATCTCGCTATCTTAAGCCTCTTATTCCAAATCTTAAAATTTATTTAGTTGATCCACCCGGTTCCGGATTATATAATAAAGTGAAATATAATATTATGTATTCATCATATGAAAAAGAAGGAAAAAGACGTCGACATCAAGTAGACACTGTAGTGGAAGGAGTAGGATTAAATCGAATTACAGAAAATTTTAATATGTCGCAGGGATTTATAGATGATGCGATTAATGTTACAGATGAAGAGGCGGTAACTATGGCACAATATTTAGTTCGAGAGGAAGGTCTTTTCTTGGGAAGTTCATCAGCTATAAATTGTGTTGGATGTGTACGAGTTGCTAGACAATTAGGACCGGGACATCGTATAGTGACAATGTTGAATGATTCTGGTCAAAGGGTAAACAATTTACACATTAAATAATAAACGTTAGAAATGTAATAATTATTAATAATCATTAAATTCTTTTTTTTTTTTTTTTTGATTTTAGCATTTGACAAAATTTTGGTTTGTATTATAATAATAATTAAACTAAATCATCGTTTCTAATTCCAAGTTTTTAATAATAATTTTATTATTTTATTTTGTAAAAAGGAATGATGAATATCTGAAACGGCATAACATTATACCTAAAGAAGGAGAAGGATTGAGTTTTATTGAATAAGTATGAATAACATAAATTTTATTATTATTATTTTTAAATAAATAAAATTTATTTTAGTTGGATTAAATTACTTATTTGATATTCACACTTGGAATATTCATTTAAGAATTTCACTTTGTGAATTGCATTTGGACTAATTGTTTGCAAAGTGAATAAATTGATGTTAATTTTTCTAAATTAATTTTATATATAAATGAAAATGAAATATTGAAAGATTGATTTGCTTGTTTATCTTCCTTTCATTATAAATCCACTTTTTGTATTAAATATTAAAAACTTATCTATATGATAATATAATATAATTATTTAAAATATCTATTATTTTTAAACAATAAAATCTATTAATTATCTAAATTATCTAAATTATCTAAATTATCTAAATTATTAAAATTTTCTGAAAATATTCCAAAATTTATTTTCCACACTACCAAAAATACTACAACTTTGTATATTGTGTACAATGTTCAACAATAGGTTCATCTATGAAAAAGATAATAATATGTTATCATTAGGAATTTAAAGAATCCATTAAATATGTGAAATTTGTGAAAATTAGAATTATTCCTATTGCACTAAAGAAAGTAAAATAATTAAGATAAACTTATATAGTACATTATGAACCGGGAATTCGTTGCTTTTTCCTTATTTAATGCGATTTTTTTAGTGTGGTTGCGGGATATTTCTTGATTTGATCACGATTTTTTTATTAAAATTTCCCGTATAAATTTTATAGAAACTTTTTTTAAATAACACGTTATTATATATTAATAGAGCATTCATCAACAAAAAATATATAATTGCTCACATTTTTCTTTTTTATTCTCTTTTACTTTTTTATTTATTTATTTTTTTTTTTGTATTATTTGAAAGGAGTTTTTTAAAATAAAGGAGTAGTTAAAATTCTCTCACTCCCGTTATTAGGATTTTTCGCCGATTCTATTTGCCAATCAATTTAGTTTAGCAAGTTTACCTTGGAGGCATTATTTCACCCCCCATTTATCCCTTTATAAGTTTAAAAATTTTTCAAGTTTTATTACAATAAAAATAAAAAATAATTTTATCCGAAATATCTATTTTTTATTGCTGACTTTAATTATTTTATCATTTTTATTCAAGTTTATCGTAAGTATTTCAAGCATTAATATTTTGAAATTCAATTTATTTAATACTGCTACATACATATTTACTTACCCAACTTTGCATTGTAATAATAATGAATATATTCCATAATTTAATTATCTTCACATAAGTCGAATAATTGCATTTTCGGGAATAAAATGCAGTTTGTGAAAAGAACGCCAAACAAAAGAATTATCTCTTGACTTGGTTACAAATTTGTTTATATAAAAGTCTTCATACTCATGGTTTTACAACGAGGAGCCTTGTTATGCTGGTTCAGTAGAAATTTCTCAATGTGGAATTCCACCGAAAACTAGTTTTACTTTTAATTTTACGGTTTATGAACTTATTGATATGTAAATATTATAAAGACGGGATGGCAACACGAGAATTTTAATATTGATAAAAGAATTATCTTTAAATGAATTTTGTTTATTTATTTATTTAATTTTACAAATTAATTTTATAAAATTTAACAAATCTGAATAATGAATTAATTAATGGTAAGAATAAATACAATTGTTCTTTGGTTCCGGAAGGTATACAATGTAATGGTGAATATGGAAATTTACTTTTGTATCGGTAAAAAGATATCGTATTAGTTAAATTCTAGTAATTATGTTTCTTTAACGTAATAAACGGCTATTTTGTATTAATATGATTATTTTATTTTAAATAATTAAAAGTACTTTTGCTACAACATTTTTTTTTCATATATAATGTGTTATTTAATACATACTACCATTTTAAATTTTCGCAAATAAGGTATCAATTTTTTAATAAAAATCATATATATTTTTTTTATTTAATGAATTGTATGACGTAACTAGTAATCGATGTAAAAAAAATGTAATGTAACTTTAAAAAATGCACCCATACCTTTACATTATAAACATTATAAAAAACTAAAAACATTTTTAATTTAGGTATATAAGCCACGAATGTGTATATTTAAAAATTATCAAGATTTATTTGGTTCTGCCTTCCACTTATATGGATCCGACGAATTCTTATTGTTATATTATTATCTCTTTTAATTACTTGTACTATTGATTTTGAAAATGGAATAACTTACGATTCATGCGTGAAAAAACAACCTATGCCAAGTAAAGATAATTCTTGGATTTTAAATATTGAAAACGAATGACATGTTTTCTAATACAAAATCATAATTAATAAAGATATCTATTTTTCTTTTGTAAAGTTTAATATAAGTTGTGAATATGAAATTAATTTTTCATAAATTGATTTAATATTCTGTTTTATATATCTATCTAATCTAATCAAAATTTCAAAAGGTGTAATTTTTCCTGATTATTTTAAAGCAATAACTGATGGTCTAGGTGAAGATGATGATTACTATTATCTCGCATATTTACCAAAGGGACAAATACTTTTGAACGCTGGCGATTATTTTAATTTTTAAAATAGGCATCACTGATGAAACATTTAAACGTTTAAATCAAAGTCATCCTATGAAGATACATGCATTTGATTCAGGTATTTTTTTTTATTAAATTGAATCTTTAATAATAATAATAATAATAATAACAATAACACAATAAATAAACGGAATTTCCGTACCAAAATAAACATCCTAAACTTAATATTTCAATTGAGGTGGAAATTCATATGCATTGAAAGAAACTAATGGTTCAAATGTATGTATATTTAAAAATCATCATTCTTGAACAGAATATATTTGTACGTGTTTATTAAAAAAAAAATACTATCAAAAAAAAAATCAGTAGGTATTTTATTTTGATTTCTTTAAGCTAAATACTAAATAGAAAATGATTTGATAACTCATTTCTTACCCTACTTGGTTTCAACCTAAAATTTGAAACATACCATTACATTGAATATGATATGCGTATAAAAATTTATTTTTTCTTTATTATTACGTACGTATTTTTTTAGTACTAATGTTGTTTATACCGTGACTACAGAGACTATTGAATATGCAAAATCAAGTAATATTTACGAAAAGGTGACAATTAACCTAAAAACTCATATTTTGGAAATAGAAAAAGAACAAAGGGAAAACAACCTCAAGTGAAGTGAATTCGTCAATATTTTGTTAACGTATTTTGATTTTATAATTATAAGACTAGTACCATTATTTTAAATTTTGTTTTTTTTTTTTTTGATAATTCCTTATACAAATAGTGATTACTATTTTGGATAAATAGGTAAATAGATTACAAGTATTTCTGCTCTTTACGGGTTAATCATTAGTATTTATGTATGCTTATTTGGTAGGTTGGATTTTTTACTGACAAATTAATCATTGCATTGTGTTTATAATTCACTTACTCATTTTTTAGGAGAAAGAGTAAGAAAATCACTTCTATTACTGTCGAGAATCCCCCTCCGATGATTTAAAAATTTAGAAAAGTGTAAAACCGAAAGAAGCTAATTTGTGTTTATTTTAGTTATTATGTTTAAATATATATGATTTTTTATTATAAATTTATATTCATTAAGTTAGTAATTAATATTATATTCAGATTAATATTTTACCTATTTAAAAGATCATTTATATCTGCAAAATTTTTTTAATATCACGCCACTTTACGTTTGACTTGACCCAATCATAAATTGGTCCATCAATCAACTTAGCATAAATTACCAATTCTAGTATTTAGAATAATGTCTTTGTCTTGAATATTTATCTATTGTTATTTCCACTTGTCATTTCTGAAACGTGCTACGACGTAGTACTATGAATTACTGTATATTTATTCACGTTTAGAAATCTGATTATTTGCCTATTTAAATTCTTTCCATTTTAGGTCACGAAAATCTTTCCAAAAGGGCAAGTGTTTTGGCAATCTTTAGTTTCTAGAATTCTATAATGTACTACGCTACACAAAAATCTTGTTTTTGAAAAAAATAAATTGGTTTTATAACTTTTTAGCGACACATTGCATACAGTGAACACTACGTGTAATCAATATTGGAAATTTTTTTTATTATTTTGATTTGCTGACTATCAAATGATAGTTTCGCTCATTGTATATATCTCACTCATATCATTAGGGAATCTAAATTTGTGCACCCTACAGTACAGTCGCGTCGCAAAGTTACGCCGATTTTTTCTTAAAACAAGAATTTCGATGTTGTACATGATTTATTCTATTTCTATATTGTATCAAAGTTTTTTTTTTTTTTTATAATTAACTAACTATTTGTTGACCCTCCATTTGCATTTAATGCTATTTCAATTCTTTGTGACATCGAGCCACAATCTTCATACTCCTCTTCTGAGCTCATCTACAGTTTTGGTAAATTTCTTTTTTTTTGTTTCTGAATATTGTCCTTAACAATTCTCAGATGTTTTCTACGGTGTTAAGATCGGTGGACTTGCTGGCCAGTACATCGGTTTAATTTTTTTGTCTCAAATCAATTTACGAATTTTTTTTTGTGGAGAATTATCCTGTTAAAATACCAGTTTTTACCCATACGAATCATTATATAACATTCATGCAGTCAAAAAAATAATTTAATAAAACAAAAGAAAAAAGGGGGGGATCAATTATGTTGTGAAAATATTACATATTGTTACACTGGAAAATCGGCGTTACTTTGCAACGCGAAATACTACCTTTTGCATTATATGAAATTATATAAAAAGACTTTTGATACGATGAAAATTAATTGAAAATAAAAATTTAAAAAACATAATTTTATTTTTAATTTCCAATTTAAGTTGTTGTGTATTTAAAATTATCAAAATGTTTTTCTTGGACTTTATCAGAAGAAATCTCCCACTTATATGGATCCGACGAATTATTATTGTTATATTATTAGGCCTTTTAATTACTTTCTCTGTAGTATTGTTTATGAGAATGCTTAAAGAAGAGCCCGGTATCAAAATACTTTATGAAACAACGGAACTTATACCTGTCCCAAGTAAAAAATAATTTTTTGATTTAAAAGCTGAAAACGAATGACATTTTTTTTTTAATATCAAAATCATAATCAATATAGATATCTATTTTACTTATAATAAAAAGTTTAGTATAACTTGTGAATATTATGGTAGGAAGCTTTAATTATTTCATAAATTGATTTATTATTTTGTTTTAAATATCTATCTAATCTAAATGTTTCAAAAGGTGGAAATTGCTCTTCATATTTTACCGAAGAACACGATGCTCCGGAAAGCTATGGCTATGATCTTGCATTTTTACCAATGGGAAAAGTAAAAATGAACACTTCCGAATCAGAAGATATATTTCTTACTATACATATCAATGATGACACATATAATCATTTAAATCAAAGTTCTCCTATGAGGTTGCATGCATTTGATTCAGGTATTTTTTATGAAATTGAATATTTTTATCTTTATATCTTTAATATAATAGTATGAAATGACATTAATTAATAGATTATCCGTATGAAAATCAAAATCCACCTAAGTTTATTGAATCAATTGAGACGGAAAATAAATATTATTTAACACAATCTAATGGTACAAATGTGTGTATATTTAGTTAAATCATCATTCTTGAATGGAATATATCTGTATATATATGTTATTAAAAAATACTTTAAAACATTCAATAGGTATTTTATTTTAATTTCTATAGGCTAAGAAGAGAAGAATTGGATAGCTCATTTCATACCC